TAGATATGGAAAATCACACGTTTGAAGTTCGGTAAATCATCATAAAATCGTCTACAAATGGGCAATGTTTCGCTGGAAAAATAACGTTTGATGGTTACAACCACTAAAGACAGGGTTGAACCACCCAAACTGGTGATTTCATGGTGATATTTCATGGTGATTTTCTGGATCAAGATCATGACTTGCGGCCTGGAAGGATGGAAATGGATGGAAATGGGATATGGGGTAAGTATATGTAACTATGCTAAAATAGCAAAACTGGTGGGTGGTTTGGAACATGAATTTAATTTTTCCATCTATTGGGAATAATAATCCCAATTGACGAACTCATATTTTTCAGAGGGGTAGGTATACCATCAGAGAGAAAAGATTTGAGAGCATCTTCACTTTTTGCAACTGGAATTTCAAAACCAATTCTAATGGGATTTGAATTACCCTCTGGTAAACATACAAATTGCCATTTAGTTCGTTGATTTACCTATTAAAAATGGTGGATCTTTCCATAGTTATGTAACAGTTTACCAGGCCGGGTACTATACTTCATCCAGAATCTGTTTGGATTCAGCATATCTCAAGCCTTAGGGAGCCGTGATAAGGGACCCCAGCTTTGGCGTTTCTCGGCTTTCAAAACTGTGGATTTTTATAATTTGAGGATTGAAATTGACAGTTTTGCTTGACGATTTCTATGCTTTGAAATTTATAAACTGAGGATTTTTTATAAAATCGACTGCGCTCCGGTGATCTATGTTCGATTTATGATGTTTCTGTCAGTTGATTCCAATTCTCCAGAGTTTGCGTAGTTTAGTGAAGAAGCACACAGCAATTCCGTTCCAAATCGTGTCCATCCAGCTTTCAAGCGGACCTTCTAAGTATGAGGTTTGTTGGTACCCCTAGAATCAAGTTGCCTAAATGTTGATGATATATCCCATGATCTTTAGGGCACTTTCTGGGTATCCCCATCTACAAAACCAACTATGACATAATTAGACAAGTAAAAACCGACTTGGTCGATCATCTTATTGACATGTTTCTTCTTAATCGCATTATATATATATATATGTATTGCTGTTTTTTGTTCAATAAGATTCATGGTATAATTGTATAATATACCATAATCAACACATAATCATTTATTATAATACTTACCTAGTGAATAGCACGACCATTTCTCTTACTATGGTCATGACTATCACTATGCAATGACCACTATAGGGTTTTGTTACGATAACAATAGCTATTAGTAGTTGATCCTATTATCGTATTATCAATATATATTATCCTATAATCACTAAATATAGTAGTAGGGTTAGTAGGGATAATAATATCACTATGTATCTTTATTGATATCACATGATATCACTATGTAATGACTCGCTCTTACAAAAACTATCAACTATGATTTTTCGCATTCATATGATACTCCATTTTATAAAATATAGTCTGGGACAGTCAATACAATAATATTTAGATAATAGATTACCATCAATAGATTACCATTTTGTCTAGATTGATTACCATGATATATCTACTATTACAATATGGTAATTGTATATCAATAATGACAATAATGACAATAATATACAACATATTACCATAGTAGATTACCCGTTAACTAGTATCATTCATAGAATATCATTAATTAACAATACTAACATAGTAACCATTGAAGAACCATTATTAATATCAATTTAATAATATTATATTTCTATTTGTAATGGTTAACTATATATATATTTAGATATTATTCACCATTAATTCTTAATATCTATGTCTTTCCCATAGATTCGCAGAATAAGAACCCGCAGATCGCCCACTTAGGTCATCTGTTCGTGACTTTGAGGATTGAGACGAAAGAAACACTGGATGAGGCGATGACGTGGGAATTCCATGGAAGGTAACAAATTATTCTATGGTTAATAAATAATTAATCAATTAGCAGAATTTATATGGGAAGGAATGGATAATTGGTGTATTTCCCATGGATTTCCCATAGTTAATCATTGGGATACCCACGTTGAACAAATTATTCTGGGAATCTGTGGGTACCCTCTGGTTTTTCAACATAGCCATGGAAAATGGCCCATAGAAATAGATGGTTTACCTATTAAACATGGTGATTTTCCATGGCTATGTTAAATAACCAGATGGTAGTCAATATTCCATGGTAATCTATTCTGGTAATATATAACAGATATCCTATAGATTAATTATCCTATATTACAGTTATAATTTGTTAAAACAATATGGCGTACAGATTATTCTGGTAATTTGTGGGTTTGTTTACATAGATATTATCAATAGTTAATCAATGGCTAATATCTATTAATTGATGATATTCTATTAATTATAATAGTTAATGGGCAATATGTGGATTTCCCATGGGATTTTGTGGCGATTTGTCTATGAAAAATGATGGATTTTTCATGGTGATTTGATGCGAGTTGTTTGGATTTTGTGGTGAGGATTTGATGGGTTTTTTTAATGGGGATTGATGAGGATTTTTAAATGGGGATTGCCATAAACATAGCATTTTTTAGGGGATAGTTTATACTAGGTTTGGTCATGTGGGGGATGGTTATGACTAGCGTAGCCATGGTTTTTCGATGGCCCTAATCGAAATCGATGATTTTCCCAGCTAGAAACCTCCATTTATAAGGGATTTTCCATGGCAAACTGTTAGTCATAACCAGATGGTAAATGGTTTTTGATTCATCATCAGAAGATTAATCAAATTGGGTTTTTTCGGCATCCGAAATGGTGATTTTTTCACCTTGAAAAACTGACGAAGCAAGACACACTGCAATTTGACCCTCAAACATCTAGATTGAACCTGTCAAGAATGGGAACCATGTAATCTTCTGTTTTTTTTTTTGGCTTCCAAAGTCCTGCATCTCCTAAGTTTAAACAGAACAGTTTTTTTTGGTGACAATGAACAGAATCTAGGGATGTCATTGGTCTGGGTAAATTTCATCACGACCGAACCCTGTTCTCCCTCACTACAATCACGGTATATCATAGTTAGGATTCGGGGAATCATCCCCTTTGATGGCCCAAGAATTCAGGGTAGTGAAATTTTCTAACTCCAATGTCACTATGTTTTGAATGGTACTTCTTATAACGAACTAGTTAACCAACGTTTACATCACGTTTCGGGGTAATCCTTCCCATGTTTGATGGTCTAGATGTTTGATGGGATGTCATTGGTGGTTATAATGGTGATTATAATGGTGATTATAGTGGTTAAATGATGATAACCATCATTGGTGATAAAAACACATCAAAGGTGACCCCCAAGTCACAGCTTTGAAGCAGCGATCGGATCCAATCGCATTACGTGAACTCAGTGAACCCACTGTACTCAGTGGACTCAGCGGATAGATTTCACCAAAAAAAACTCGGCGTATGCCAAGAAAAATGGTGCTTGTCTCCAAGTCCTAAGGCCATAGATAAGGCTAAAATTTCAGGGCGAAATTTCAGGGCAAAATTTCAGGAAATATCCGCAGAAATAATAGTCTCATACTACAGTACCTCCATTTTAGGTTCCTCAAATTCCCAGAAAACCAGTAGGTGTCCTGTCGATTTTTCCCTGAAACCAATCCCTATGATAGTAACTAATCCATATTAGCCCATGATTTTGCCGTCCAGTTTCCCACTTCCGAGCACTCGGAGAGGCCACAAAGAAAGTCCTGAGACAGGCTGGCGAAGCAGTGGCGAGCCGCCTGTTGGATGAAGAAAATCACAGGTTTTTGTTTAATGGTTTTTTAATATGGTTTGATCATGAAAAAATCATGAGACACATTTTATGGTTTTGATATGTTTTGATCATGAAACATATGAGATCATATGAGTATATAACGGATACCCTCTGGTAAATTAACAGTTCGACCCTGAAATTAACCCATTCTTAGTGGTTTCACTAATCTTCCAACCCCCAAGTCATGCCAGGGTCGTCATGTGAATTTTCTGGAGGTTAAATGGTGGTTGAGCTGTGGTTGATCATTCTCTGGGATGCGATGTAACAAATGATGCGTTGATGAGTGGTTTGGGGATAAAAAAGACCAATATCATTGGGAATACCCTCTGGTAAATGATCATGGTCTTTTGTATGTTTACCAATATAGCGAACTGGAAAGATCCACCATTTTTTTTAATGGGTAAATCAACGAACTTTCAACTGGGCCATGGCTTCCAGTTCGCTATGTTAGTCATTACCTGAGGATCATTGGGAATATCACCATCCATGAACAGGGGAAATCCCATTCTCTGCCAGTATAAAGGGTAGCCCAGCGACCCCAAGGGGTCTCCAAGAGATCAGTTGTTTTTTCTCCATTTTGCCAATGGACATTTCACCAGAGTTGGTGGTTGATAATCCGCAGATCTGGAAAAAATCAGTAACTTTTACCCTGGTTATTAGCCACTTAGCCCGGATTTAATGCGACAATCAATGGGATTTGATGAGACAATCAATACGTAGGAATTTACAACTGGTGGTTTGGAACATGTTTGATTTTCCCATCCCAACTGACTTTCACTCCATCATTGTTCAGAGGGGTTGAAAGGTCAACCACCAAGCAGTAGATGTGGAGAACCCACCATTTGACGATGAATTTGATGAATTTCCGAGAAGGACAACCAGGGGTTTTCCAATCCGCACCCGGCTCGGCAGCATTCGCGTTTCACAGCAAGCCCCAAGGATACTGAAAGATGTGCCAAGTCCGAAAAAGATGGACCAATTGGATCTGGATGGATCTGGTAACCTCTGGTTTCATTTCATGATGTTTCAAAGATCATATGAATCATACTGTGGATGGGCCAGCGAAATCCTAAAAACCAGTTGATAGGTGGTTAATCCCATTATTTATAGGCTTTCTACCATCCCAGGTGGTGCAGGATTTCGCAACCATCCACTGTATCATCTAAAATATCCATGAAACATATATGAAACCAACCAAGAAGTAGAAACCAACTGAAGTTTCAGAATTGACCAACTGAATTCGTTGACAGCAGCCTCATGGAAGATGATATCGTGCATGATGAGGACGTTGACACGCCGGCGTCGACGACTCGTCATGGTCTGTCATGACTTTGACGTTGGAATCCTCAAGATCCACATTTTGAGACAAACCCCATATGGCTTTCTTAAAATCCTATTTTTAATGGGAAAGGTAGGTAAGTACCTCCTTTATAAATCGGATCCTGAAGATCTCCCATTGCTAAAATGGTTGATCCCCAAGTCACCATGGTTGTTTCAACACTCAGGTTTATACGGAGGTCTTTCATAGGGGCATGGGAGTAGGAACTCTTCTGATTTAATCCCATTATACCCTACTGTCCAGTCATATTCAACCACAATCCCATTATATGATTTGTTCCAATGACTGGGATATGTAATATGTATCCTATACAGTCACTATCCCATTGGGTATTATATGATGATGAGTATTTGAGAGATGTTTTCTGATGATGTTTGAATATCCCAACCATCCAGTCATGTATCACCCAAACAAAACCATTCAATGACTGGATGTGAAAAAAATGACCGCACGGAAAAATCATTGAAGATCCCATGGAAATGGCCTCACTGGCCTCAAAGACATGGCGCCATGGGATTCTAAATAACTATGGCGCCATAGGTATTATGAAAACTATAGTTACATCACCTATAAACCATAGTTGTTGGACTTATAAAGCCCATAAATAGATATTAACCACCATTCAATGGATCATGTTAAGATATGGTGTTATTATGTGAGATTTCACCATAGTTATACCCAAATGTCGGGAATATTTTTACCATAGTTGGGATATAAGCCCTATAATCAATGGATTATACATCTGGGTAAATTATAATAATTCACTAACCTGAAAGTTGCGGCTATAAAAGGGCATGATTTCCCTATATCTAAACCATGATTCCAGGGTTCGGGAGAACAGTGAGGTCGTGATGTCATTTACCCAGATACATGGATACTGGATGATTCTGGATCCCACCCCACTTTGTAACGGTTCATCTGTGGATAATCTATCGTTCACCATGGTTGAAAATCTTACTGGTGGGGGATGGGAATGGATGGGTTGCTGGGGGTTGCTGGGATTATTTTCGATAATTGTGGATCATTCCCTCATTCCCTACGTTTAGCAGTAGCACAACTAAGAAATAGTCATGTTTCAACCCACTCACCATAAATCTATCCATAGCACCCGCAACTATACCCGCCGGTGATCAGACATGACTGGAAGCCATGGCCCATTTATTTCGATGTTACCATGGAACCCTCCATTTGTTTCGGGACTTTCCCAGCCCGCCATGTTTGACTACCGAAGGGTATCCATCCATCCATAGTTACCATAGTTGTTACCAGCAAGCATTCATTAAGTGCATGTTTCTCCTCAGTATGGTTAAAAATTCCATGTTCATTCTAGTTCCATCCACAATTCCATATGTTTAAAATTGTTTAAACATGGTTAAACAGGTATTATTTGCCTGGAGCTGAACCCAATGACCTACTTCCGTATGTTTTTCTGTGGATAGATTAGAAATAGGTACCCTCTGGTTATGTCAAAATAGCTATTGAAAATGACCATTTATAGTGGATTTTCCCATTAAAAATGGTGATTTTCCATAGCTATGTTAGTTTACCACCACGATTTCCCGCTAGCATTAGCTCCATTCTTCCGCCGTTTTGGTTACTTAAATCTCATTCTGGTTGGTGAATCCCAATGAATGCATATTGAATATGCATGGTTAATGGATGGTTAATGGATGGTTAATGGATGGTATAGATGTTCTAGAATATCTGGTTGGTGGTTTCAAACACGTTTTTATTTTCCATTTCATATTTGGGATGTCATCCTTCCCATTGACGAACTCCATCATTTTTCAGCGGGGTTTTGATCAACCACCAACCAGCCATTTTTTTTGTTGGTGAAATGACTTTTTTGATTCTTAAACCATGTTTGTTGGTGAAACACCACAATTTTTCATGGTGAAATCGCAACATTTCCATCCATTCATCGTGATTTCCATCCCTCGAAACCAGGACCCGCCCGTGACCGCGCCCAAACGACGCTGCTGCAGCAAAGCTCCTGCAGGCAATGGGGTTCCTATGGAGAGATGGAGGATCCGGAGATTACTCTGGTTTTCGATATAAAAATGGAGATTTCCATACATGGGTATGGGTCAAAATTAGGTACCCCAATAATTGGATGGTGAATACTAAACTAGACTAACATCTGTGGTCCCCTAGGTCTTCCATTTTGACCCACATCCACATCAATGGCCATTTCAGGAAGCTAAATCGGAGGTATATCCCCAGAAAATATGGCCAAACATATGGTACTAACGTACCTCCAATTTAGGTTCCTGAAATGGCCATTGAATACAGGATGGCCCCCCCCGGTTATGAGTTGGTTTATAAACCCCATTAACATCCATTAACTAGTTCGTTATATCAAGTTATATCTACCATAAACCATTGAATTCAACCACTTAGGTTCGGCAACTGAATGCTATCTTGGGGGCCCCATCCTGTATGGGGGTTTCCATAAATGGGAGGTACCCAATAGCTGGATTATTTCAGGGAAAATCCATCTATCAATGGATGATTCATCTATTTCAGGTGTGTTAGTTTAATAACAAGTAACAATCATGGCATTCATGGGATCATAAGGGGCTAATAATGACTGGTTGGTGTTTTCAAACATGATTTTTATTTTCCATTTTCTATATGGGATCATACTCCCAACTGACGAGTTTTCATATATTTCAGAGGAGTTTTGGTATACCACCAACCAAGCTAATAATGAATATTTCTATATGAATAAGGAGGTGTCCTAAATGGGGGGTTCGCCGAAATCGGCACTTTTGATGGGGATTTTCCATGAAAAAATTACCATTCAGCGAGATATTGGGGGTACCAGGACTATGGCTACACCTCCAAATGATCAAATGACCAGGATGGTCCTGGGATGGTTTCGGGTACTACTTCTTAGGAAACCTCCTGATAGTGGTTTCTAGGTCAATCTTACATGGATACAAACTAATCCTTTAGTCTTTTGGTATTAATGGGAATATCTACCTGAGTGTTGAAACAACCATGGTGACTTGGGGATCAACCATTTTATCAATGGTCATTTCAGGAACCGATTTATTGGAGGTACCTACCATAGAAAAAATGCCTATATATATCAGGCCTAAATTTCAGGGAATATCCCCACAAAATATAGCCAAACATATGGTACTAACGTACCTCCATTTTAGGATCCTGAAATTTCCATTGATGATAGTGGTTTGTTAGTTGATTGACAGTACTCATGGTTTCTGTAGTTTCTTGATTAGAATGTATAACAAATGGTAGTACTGAATGATTTTAAATGTTTAAGATGTTGGAAAAGATGAAAAACCATCAACCATGGCTTTGAAATACTCTGAAACTGACCTTGCGGATGACCACGGGACCCATATTTAGCCCTGCAACGGTCAATTGACCATAGCACATTTGGATATGGAGGTATCCTACATGGGTAGCCCACGTCACCATGGTTGTTTCAATGTCATAGTCATCCATGATGACTGGAGGATTGAGGGTATCCCCATGACTTAGGAACTACGGTGATCCTCGGACAAAAATGCGGCAAATCCAAGATATACTTGGTGAAACCTCAGCGATCAGTCTCCATTTATGGTCAATCTTCCAAATTCAATGGGAATTTCAGGATCCAATTGATGGAGGTACGTTAGTACCAGATGTTTGGCTATATTTTGTGGGGATATTCCCATACATAGGCCTTACATAGGCCTTATGTATGGTAGGTACCTCCAATTTAGGTTCCTGAAATGACCATTGACAAAATGTCCCACTAACCCCACATATTCCGGTAGGATGTTCCTGTTCAACTCCATATTAGTTCCATGATTTCCCTAGATTTTCCCACTAAAACCTCTTCCCAGGGAATTCTCTAGATGATTTTCCCATTCAACCTCCATTGATAGATGATTTGCCGCAGATTTTCCCATTAAAATCTCTATATTCCTAGGTTTTTTCCATGTTTTTCCCCGGATTTTCCCATAAAACCTCCAAATTATAGATGATTTTCCTCAGATTTTACCACTAACTCCATCCACCACCATGCGCGTACCATGCGCCGCGTCGTACCATGCGCGTTTCCGCAAGGGGCGGAGGCGACTCCCGATGAGATCTTTCAGGTGATCAACAGCATCGACTGGTCGCAGAAGAAGCCGCTGGTGACCCGCGAGGTGAAAGCGAACGGGTGGATAGCGAACGGCTGTGATGAATAGATGGGGAATATATACTGTACATATGTACATGGTTATACATACACATACACATACTATGATATGTATATATATATAGTGCAATTATATTATATATATATATATATGTAATTATATACTGTATGATATATATATATGGTTATACATACACATACAGGATGCCCCCCCCAGTTATAAGTTGGTTTACAACCCCATTTAAATATAGTTATAAAAGTTATAAATATCATAGACTATTGTTATTATAGTTATTATAGTTATATGTAACCCATAATAACAATAGGGGAGTTGTAGTTATATGCATAATAGTTATTATAGTTATATATCATTCCATATATTATAGTTAGGTGGTATGATATATAACTATAATAGTAATATAACTATATATCATATCTAACCGTATATAACTATAATTAGTAATATACCGTGTATTACTCTGATATCATACGTATATATCATACCGTATATACTATGACATGCTATATATACTGTATATATGTATGTATGGCTATACATACACATACACATACACATACTATGTGAGGCCCCCAAGATATCTAAGTTGGTTTATAACTCCAATAACTATGGTTTATGGTACTTATAACGAACTAGTTATTGGGGCTTATAGACCAATTAACATCACTGGGGGGCCTCACATTGTATTTTTCCATTGATCATGGATTGATATACCCGGCCTGGTAAACATAAATGGAGGTACAGTACCTCCATTTTAGGATCCTGAAATTCCCATTGATTTTGGAATATTGACCATAAATGGAGGCTGGTCGCTGGGGTTTCACCAAGTATATCTTGGATTTGCCAAGTATATATATATATATATCATAGTAATTATTTGTATGTATGTGTATTCTGTTCTATTGTAGTGGAATGCAATGCAACGTTTCATGGCGGCCAAATCCAGTGATTTCCTTCTTTCGTTTTCCCACAATAGGGGCAACGCTTGGGGTGAGCACATTCCTAGGGAATTCCTTAAGGGAAATGAAAAATCCCGGGTTATGTAAGTTATAATCCATGTATATTTGATAATCCATTTATATTTGATAATCCATTTATACTGTAGTTACTGTAGTTGATAATCCATTTATAGTTGATAATCCACGTATAGTTGATGATCCATTTATAGTTGATGCTCCTTGCAAAAAATCATAGAACCAACCCATTGTACTGGATCCCCCTGTCTAAAAACTGGAGAGGAATCACAAGAAATCACGAGAAATCTTTTGGAGAATCTCTCAGATTCAGATCTGGTTGGTGGTTTGGAACATGTTTTTTCCATTCAGTTGGAATTTCATAATCCCAACTGACGAACTCATATTTTTCAGAGGGGTAGGTATACCACCAACCAGAGATTTTCTGAAGGTGATTCTTTACATCCTATTGTTACATCCATTATTTATTTGCGGAATCTATGAACAGAAACTAGTCACTAGTCAGATTCGAATCCACAGTTGCGTTTTCACTGAGCATGCTGATGTGTGAAGGACATTGGAGGATTGTCCCGCTTAGTAGAAACTACAGGTAAGTACATATGTTTTGATCAGCTTCCAATATCTACAAATGGAATATAGTAACCCCAAAAAAGGACAGAAAGGTTGGTGTTACCACCATTTCAGAATTGTGCCGTTCCGTTTTTTTGGGGACGGGAGGGTTGCTACAATCCCAAAGTCGGGGGCTTTCAGTTTATGATGGAAACATGGAAGAAGAAAAATACATTGCTCTCGAATTTAGAATCCATTTACCCCCCTGGTTATTCAACATGGCCATGGGAAATGGCCCATAGAAATAGATGGTTTACCTATGAAAAATGGTGGATCTTTCCATGGCAAACTGTTAAAAAACTATGTTAGTCATAACCAGATGGTAGTTCGATATATCATCTAACTGCATATATCTAATATAAGAAACCATATATCATATATTGTCATCCCATTTACCCTCTGGTTATTTAACATAGCCATGGTATAGATGGTCCATTTATAGATGATTTTCCCAGCTAGAAACCTCCATTTATTTTTGGGATGTTCCATGGCTATGTTAGTCATAACCAGATGGTAACTATTAGAAACCATATATCATCTATAAAGAAACCATATATATATATATATCATGTTTGTTATCATCCCATTTAACTATTAGACACCAGCATATATCTCCCCTTCAGTTTCTGGATTTTCCCAGCCTTCAAGAAACCTCCGTTGACGATGTTGGGGATGTCCCACTTAGATTTCGCTATAAATGGGACCGGTTTCATATACCCGGCCTGGTAAACATACCAAAAACCGATGGAACATGGTGATTTATCGTGGATTTTCCCATGAAAAATGGTGATTCACTATAACATAAGGAACTGGAAAGATCCACCATGTTTAATGGGTAAATCAACTATTTCAACTGGGCCATGGCTTCAATAGTTTTTTGTATGCTTACCAGATAATATCTCATGATATTCCCTTAACATCTCCCCAATATATCCCTGCGAATCCCTATAAACAGATGACAATGACTTGGTTTGTCTCCATTAGTCTAATCTCTTTCCCTATGAACATCTTGGAATAACCATTACCATTACCCTCTGGTAAATTAACATAGACCCTGAGAATCACCAATTTTTAATGGAAACTAATCTTCAAACCCCTATTTGGCAGGGTCTATGTTTATTTTTACTGGAGAGTATTCCATTTATATGCCATCATGACACCCATATAAAACCATATAAAGCCATCTCAAACTGCCATGGAAAAACCTTCATTTTATCAGTTATCATGCGGTCATTGTCCCATGATATTTTCCCAGTATTCCAGCAACATTTACCCGAACAAAATCACCCAGTTTTGTAGGTTTTTATGTACCAGCACCCTGAAGCTGGTTGGTGGTTTGGAACATGAATGGATTATGACTTTCCATTCAGTTGGGAATGTCATCATCCCAACTGACTTTCACTCCATCATTTTGCAGAGGGGTATAGGTATACCACCAACCAGATTAACATCTTCTATGGATTTCTATGGTTGGAGAATGGTAATAGATGGATATACCAGCATTTACCAGCATTTACCCTAAAAATCACCCAGTTTTGTAGGTTTTTATCTACCACCATCTTCCAGAGCGTCTTGGTAGCGAGATTTTCCGCTTCCAGGTGACCGTCGGAGACTACACCTGGGACCGCAGCAGCATTCTGCTCTCGGTGGGGCCACCGGGGCCACAGCAGATCCGGCTGCGGGGTGGACGGAATCGCGATCTCATGAAGAAAGCCTTGCAGGAGCCGAAAGACAGAACGGAAAAACTGCTTGGTGGTGCTTTGGAACCATGGAATTTGGATTGACTTTCCATTCAGTTGGGAATAGTAACCCCCAACGGACGAACTCACATTTTTCAGAGGGGTAGGTATACCACCAACCGGTAAAACTGGGCGAGTTTTCCGTGAAAAAAACAGGGGTTTTGGTGAGTTTTACTGGGTGAAGATGACGAGTTTCCTGAAAATAGAGGTTTTAAGGGGAGCGTTCCTAGGGAAAACGGAGATTTTGGTGAGATTTGATAATGCCTAGAAAAATTGCACAGTTTTGTAGGTAAATATTCCAGCACCATGGAGCATCTGGGATGGTGAGTACAATATGACAATAGGGAGTTAATGATCAAATTTGTGTGAGAATATATTATTTGCTGCGCAGGTTTTGGTCGAAATTAGGAACAAGTTGGATTTGCCTTGCTTTATGATATTGCAGAAGTATCTCATATTTCCATTATATCAATCACCATTAGTATAGACTTTGTCTGAAAATCGGATACTTCTGAATCATCATTGTTCCTAGTAAAATTGTCATGCGGATGTATACCCCATCTTAAAACAGGCCCGTATCCCACTAATCACTAATCCTATCCCCCCAATACCCCCATAAACCGTAGTGTGGCTGGATTTACACATATTTGGGACCATTTGTTTAGGGGGTGTTTAATATTCGGGGGATGGGAGTACAGTGGTTCAATCCTCGTTTATATCAGGGGTAACGGATTCTGTTCTTCCGCCAGCATTTGGGCAGGAATGTCTCGATTCTGAGCGTGTCTTGGAGCGAGACCAAGTTATAGGGAAGCGACAAGAGTGGAGAGTGAAGCATTAAAATTAGGAAGTTACCCGGCCTGGTAAACAAAAAACTATGGAAAATGGTGATTTATAGTGGATTTTCCCATGAAAAATGGTGATTAACTAAGATAACGAACTGGAAAGATCCACCATGCTACGTGTAAATCCACGAACTTTCGACTGGGCCATGGCTTCAATAGCAAACTGTTAGTTTAGAGAATTCCTATGGATGGAAGAAATCCTGTACCACCAAAAGGATGGTTGAAAGGTTGAAACCCTATGAATAATGGGATATTTACGCGTTTACCATCTATCAAGTGGTGATTCGGATTTCGCTGGCCCATCCACAGTTCCACCATCAAATCTCTGTTAAGAAGGGGAATGACCCAATTTTGCAGTAGAAAAGCATCAAAGGAATTGGAGAAATTGTCCACTTGTGTGGGGTCCCTTTCGGAGCCAGATTTCCTGGATTTCTGAGATCTGAGACCATCCATTTCGGAGGGAGATCGGAGATGATATCCCCCTTTTCGGCGGATTTTCTGGAGGTTTTTTCCACCGGGAACCGGCGGTTTTTCATCAAGATCAGGATAGATCAGGTACCCCAGTGACATGTGTGTGGGTTTATAAACCCTATCTGGTTGGTGGTTTGGAACATTTTTTATGTTCCACACTATATGGAATAATAATCCCAACTGACTAATATTTTTCAGAGGAGTTGAAACCACCAACCGGCTATAAAGCTAGTTTTGTTGTGCTCCCTTTCATCAACAATAGAAGTTTGTTGCTTGACTTTCGCCCAAAAAATACATAAGAATAGTCTATAGTCAAGTGCATGACCCCCATCAACCATCGAGAATTCGCGAAGTTTTTGAGTCAACTTAGCTACCTACTTGGGCATCTCACTTAGTAAATGGTTTATACCCGCAGTTAGATTAATGGAAATATCATGAAATATCTCCAGAATATCCGGAATTTTCATTTGGGTTATATATTGTTAACGATTATAAACCACTAAGTAGGATGCCCTCCGGTAATTTGACAGTGTGCTATTGAAAATGGTCATTTAGTTCGTTGATCATCGTACAAATGGTGACTTTCCAGTTCGCAAACTGTTAGTTTACCAGCAGTTACCCATTATCAGGCCTTTTGTGTTTCACCTTACCTTTGATTTTAAGGATTATAAATTATAAACCACAAAGACCTTTGTGGGATACCTATCAGGCTGTTTCACCAAGCTTCTGTGTGGCTTGGTGATTTATATTTCATAATTATATAATTAGTGGTTTCATGGATTATATAAATATAAACCACAAAAACAGTACCTTTGTGGGATACTTGTACCTTTCACCAGCTTTTTGTGTTTCACCAATCAATGGCCATTCCAGGATCCTAAATTGGAGGTACCTACCATATATAAGGCCTATTTTTCAGGCCTATGTAAGGGGATATACACTCAAAATATGGCCAAACATATGGTACTAACGTACCTCCATCGATTGGATCCTGAAGATCTCCCATTGAACCAAGGTTCTGTATGGCTTGGCTTCAAGAAATTTCGCGTTGGGATGCCTTGGTGTTTGGTGCTTCGCTGTCCCTGCCTGGTGTTGTCCATGACCCTTCTGGCGGTCTTCGGCTTGATCGGCCTGGGCGTCACCAGCGCGCCCATCGTGTTGAATACCGACTTTGAAACTCGGTTTTTAAAAGAACCCTTTAAAGTAGTAAAAAAAAAACATGGTCAATGGATGATATGTCTATAGTCAATGTTACTGGATGTTAATGATAGTCAATGGATGTTAATGGATAGTAAAATGGTACCCAATACAATGTTTTTAAAATTTATATGGTCCAAGAATGTTTGAGAATGGTTGATAATTTGTTTAAAAAAAAAAAACATGCAATGTGGGGCCCCCAAGATATCTAAGTTGGTTTATAAGCCCCAATAACTAGTTCGTTATAAATACCATAAACCATAGTTATTGGAGTTATAAACCAACTTAGCTATCTAGGGGGCCCCACTTTGTGGTACCCAATGCAATGTGGGGTTTTTGATTTTATATGCTTCAAGAATGTTTGAGAATGGTTGATAAATTGATATAAATTGGGATACGGTGCGGTAATGTCCCTAATTTTCCATGGGAAAATATCGCTTAACTCGCTCCACGCGAATCGCACCTCAACGGATTACCTTCTCTTTGCCTCTAACGTGGCTATGGATAATGGATGACTGGTTGGTGGTTTGGAAGATGTTTTATTTTTTCCATTCAGTTGGGAATCATCATCCCAACTGGCAAACTCCATCATTTTTCAAAATGGATGAAAATGGCTACCATTTACAGAGGATCCCATGATTCACCGTACCAAAAATGCTGGTTTTCCGCTAGCCAATCATCGTTGAATAATATAAGGGTTTTCAGTACCCCTTTGGTATATGGAAACATCCAATACCGGCTTTAAAAACTGGTTTTGCCCCCAGTTTGATGCATGGAATATCATGGAATATCACTGCAAATGTATGTTGTTACTATTGATCCATGAAATTCCAATAATCCATGGAATCATTATTCATAATAATCCATTTCAATGTGAAACCCAAATTTCATGGATTATTATGGATGGTTATTATGGAAATATGAGTTTCACATGGATTCTTATTACCTTCCGCTGTCCTCAATGGCTGCGCCAAGATTCAGGACTCCTTCATGGACTCAGACAGCGCTGCATCGTTGAATTTCAATTCCATCGTGCAGGCAGGGCGTCTGCGTCGTCTACGTGTTTTGGGACGGGCAAAAAGCTACTCTGGCGGAACCTGAAAAAGGGGATATCTCACCAGATTTTCGCATATTTTCCTGGTGAAAATCCTGATCAACCACGGTGTTTTTATTTCGGGATGCCACGGTGACATTACTTACTTGTTCCCTATTTTCAGACAAACCCACATGCGACCCGCTTAGTTCACTGGTTTTGCACTTCTAAGTGGGGTTTTTTAGGGGATTGGACCGGCAGAAATGGAAGGTTAGCCAAGAACAGTAGAGATTTGAGTTTCAGGGATACTGGGTCAATCTTACATGGATACTTTAATCCTTTAGTTTTTTTTGATTTTTTTTGGTGTTACTGGGAATATCTACTAACCAGCAAAGATTTTTTTGTTGCAGGGTATCTGGTTGATTGGCAATGTAAAGCGAAAACCAGGGAATTACTGGGATTACCAACAGTATGATGATTGTTGGGCGTGTTTGGAAAGGAAAGATTGACCCCCAGATACTTATCTTCATTCAAAATCTCATGAGAAAATGATGAACCCATGGATTGTGGGCTGCTCCACAATTGAATACAGGGTGATTTATTCACATGACATTGGAGTTAATGGGATTTAATGGGATTTTAATGGGATATATGATGATATACCCTCTGGTAAACTAACATAGCTATTGAAGCCATGGCCATAGAAAGTTCGTTGAGTTTCCCATTAAAAATGGTGGATCTTTCCATAGCTATGTTAGTTTACCAGAGGGTATCTTTGCCAACAACGCTATCATAAATCAGTTATAAAAAGTTATAAATCCCACGAAATCCCCATTTTCCTATGGTTTTTCCTATGGCACCACCTATGGTACCAGGGCCCCCAAGTCACCGAGGCGATCAACGACGCCCGCGCCGCTGCAGCGGGGCGACGTCTCATGGAAGTGGAGCAGCCCGAAGGTGGAGTCAACGGCTGTCGATGTGTTTTTCCATAGATTTCTATAGGGGATACCCTCTGGTAAATTAACCCATTCTTCGTGGTTTCACTAATCTTCCAACCCCCAAGTCATGCCAGGGTCGTAATGTTTTCCATAAATTTCTATACTTCGATGGGTGATTTACCTATTAAATGGTGATTTATAGATGGTTTACCTATTAGAAATGGTGATTTTAATAACTTACCCTCTGGTAAACATAGAAAAAATTATGGAAAATCACAATTTTTGATGGGAAAACTCACTAATTATAGGGGATGCCCTTTGGTAAATGATACTTTTACATGTTTCTTTGCATGTTTACCAGAGGGTAACCAGGTGATTTTCCATGGTGTTTAGATTGTGTTTTTGATGGAAAATGTCAGGTGTTTTTGGGGGATGGGGCCCCCAAGATAGCGTTCAGTTGCATGGGGATATTGGGATCATAAGGGATCACTAGTCCCAGATGCTCCATGGTGATGGTTTATAAAAATCTACATGACTGGATGATTTTGTTCAGGCAAATGTTGGTGTGCAATTCCATAAATGTTGGTAAATACTCATCATTTGGAAGAGATTGCGACGCTACTTAGATGGGCCATGGAATTAGTTAACATAGCCATGGAAAATGGCCCATAGAAATAGATGGTTTACCGAACTAAAAAATGGTGATTTGAATAACTAGTTGGTAAAAGGCAATGGAATTAGTTAACTAGTTAGTAAATGGATGATTTCGGGATTTTTTGGGGTAGACAAACTCCAGTGACTCACCAGGAATCGCTCGTTTTTCCGATTTGGCCCGTCTAAGTGGGGGATACCCTCTGGTCAACAGTTTATCAGTTTGCGAACTGGAAATTGGAAAGATCCCAGCATTTTTCATAGGTTATTAACCACGTACCGCGGATTTAATGGGATAATCAATGGGATTGGATGAGACAATAACTTACCCAGTGGTAAACATAGAAAAAACTATGGAAAATCACAATTTTTAATGGGAAAACTCACTAATTATAGGGAGTACCCTCTGGTAGATGATACTTTTCCATGTTTTTTTGGTATGTTTACCAGAGGGTAACCAACTGAATCAACCATTTGTTATAGGTAAATCAACGAATCAATGGGAGATCTCCGGGATCCAATTTATGGAGGTACGTTAGTACCATATGTTTGGCCATATGAATTGTGGTGATATTCCCTAGACCTGAAATATAGGCCTTTTTTCTATGGAATCGGTACCTCCTTTATAAATCGGTTCCTGAAATGGAAAATAGGCCATACCCTCTGGTAAACATACAAAATACTTAGGAAAGATCCACCATTTTTCATAGGTAAATCAACGAACTTTCGACTGGGCCATGTTCAATAGCAGTTATGTTAGTCATTACCAGGCCGGGTATCCCAGCTAGACATGTTTGACTGGAAACTGCTTGGATGTGCATCCCACTTATCAATGGCCATTTCAGGAACCGATTGATTGGAGGTACCTACCATATATAAGGCCTATGTAAGGCCTATGTAAGGAAATATCCCACAAAATATGGCATTATATGGTACTATGGCATTATATGGTACAGTACCTCCAATTTAGGATCCTGAAGTTACCATTGAACTTATGAATGTTTATGATCCATCAGCCATAGTTCATCCCATATATGATAGGGAAATATTCCATCAATCTATATCAATCTACCCGGCCTGCTAAACATACAAAAAGCTATTGAAGCCATGGCCCATAGAAATAGTTGATTTACCTATTAAAAATGTTGATTTTCCGTAGTTATGTTAGTTTACCAGAGGGTAGCTGTTTGTTTTTTTTACCCATTTAGGATTCGTGGGGCCCCCACCAAGTAGGTGAACCAACTAGTAGGCGATATCTACCAACTACTTGGTGGCGAACTACCCACGGATCCTAGATTAATATCCCGTTTTTTTTTCAGATATGTAGGGTGATCATCCGAAAAAACTAGCATGAACTAACCTACTTACTAAGTGGGATGAGCCACTAGCTCAGTTGTTGTTTTTTTCGCAGAGTATCTAAGATTGGCAATGTGTCCTATGGCAAAATTCCATTGGAAAATTGCAGAAATTTCATGGAATAACATGGAAATCGATGGATTTGTTGAAGGAAAATGATGATGTTAATGGAATTAGATGGGATAATTGCATGGAATGATGCAATCATATCCAAATATATAATGGGATATTCAATGGGATTTTATACGTCAGTAACATAGAAAATTCAACATTATCAAATGCGATAATGATATGTTCATGATAATGGAAATAGGATATATAAATAGATTGGATAACATTAACATGACGAAAAAATAGAGGTTGAGAAAATCCGAACACGTTCAACCATTTGTTTCTGAAAAAGTGGTTGCACATTTTATGTTTCCCAATTTCGAAGCGATGATGTTCGAGATTTTTTGACCGTTTGTGCAACAGTTGTAGAAAACGACATGTCGTTGTTGAAGAATCACTGCGAAAAACCCACTGCACTTTGAAGCAGTTCTTCTAAGGTGACTCTTTGGAACTCTACAGTGGTACTTGGAAGTGCAATTTCAATGAACTAATGGGCTTTCTTTCACCATGTAGTTGTAGGGGCCCATTTCACCCCATTATTGGTGTTATTATGCGTTATTTCACCATAGCAACACCTAATTATTATATACACCATAGTTGGGATATAGAGGTTTCCTAAGTCATGGGGCTACCCCCAGTTCTCATCCCTTTTCGATTGGGAATTTCCATGATAAGCAGCCGTTTTGGGGTACCTCCATTTTTTCCCAAACCTCCATAGAACCCTTATTTCTTACGGGGGTTATTTCACCATAGTTATACCCATGTGTGTTCACCTCAACTGGCCCTGGCAATCCTAATCGAACATCACCCAAATATTGGGGATATAATCTGGTTGGTGGTTTGGAACATTTTTTATGTTTCCATATTATCATATATTGGGAATAATCATCCCAACTGACGAACTCCATCATTTTTCAGAGGGGTAGGGCTCAACCACCAACCAGTAATCTTCAACAGATATTTGAATGTGATGTTCAAAAAATAGTAGTGTTATCCCAGTTATCCCATTATTATCTATATTAAACCATATAAAACCCTATTAAAGCCATATTTGATTGGTCAAAATCATAAATCAGCTATAAATCCCATGAAATCCCTCATTTCCTGTGGGTTTTCCCTATGTTTTTCCTTCAAAATCCCCAAAACATGGGACATTTGCCAAGCCCTGAAACTGGCTCCAGGAGACCTTCATAGTCTTGAAGAGTTGGGATTGGTCTTGGAGGTGCCCTGCAAGGTTTGGCGAATTCATATAGAATAAACCCTTTAAGACATGTGGAAAAGGGGAAAAATCATCCTGGACTTTGACCACTATTCTAAACTTGAACGATTTTTGTTGTATCTTTGTAAGGTAAATTCTGTGTACCCTCTGGTAAACATACAAAAAACTATGGAAAGATCCACCATTTTTAATGGGTAAATCCACTATTTCTATGGCCATTTTCAATAGCTATCTATGTATGTTTACCAGGCCGGGTAGTCTTCGTTTGCGTGTCAAGATTCATTGAGTGATGCCCAGCATCTGTGGACGAGATCCACCCGTTGAGTGGTAAACCATCCAAGCATGGTGAAGCAAAATTTCATCCACAATTAATGTGGCATGATTTCATCATGATAACATAAAAATCCCATTGATTTATCCATGATTTATCCATGACAAAGTGGATTACATGTATACATGATTTATCCATTTTTTGGCATGTATAATATACTAATATATACTATTAAATCATATATTATAAATTATATTATTATAATGCATGTATACATGATTTATCCCTTAAGAGGCCTTTGACTGTCATCTACTTTGTCCCTGTAAGCAGAATTTGCTCAGACATCCCGCGGATCGGAAGTAGGTGAGAGTTCTATCCCTCGTTTTTTCAATACACTGAAAAAACTGCGGCTAAAAATCCACTTAATTATGGTTATTATGGCCATAATCACAATGAAATCAAATTATCAAAGGATATGTTTTCAATAAGTAGGGTGATCATCGGAAAAAACTCGGGTGAACTCACCTACTGACTAACCTATGTAGTGGGATAATCCACCAAGTATTAGAGAATAATATAAAATATATCAGTAATGGTTGGATCATGATTTTTGATCCACCAGTATCCAACGATGGGAATCCATCAACCCATATGCTCCATGGTGCTGGTATATTGACCTACATGACTGGGTGATTTTGTTCCGGCAAATGTTGGCGTGCCTATTCCAGCACCATGGTTCGCATATGGGCAAGTATGACAACTTGAGATTTTTAACATGACTAAATTGGCTGAGGATGAAATACTTGGTATCCAAAACTATATATGATATACATGATGATTTATTTATGATACAATATTTATAGAAGATGAGGATTTATATACAGTATTTATATTGATATTTAGATCTTTATTTAAATACAATATTCATATTTATCACCAATATTTATATATAATTAGGATTTATATATCCCAAATATTGTATCCCAAACTGTATAAGGTGATATAGGTAAATAATAATAATAAATATAAGTGTCCCATGTGTCCCATGTATCCTAATTTGTAAATTATACAATATATGATACTTATATAAAATGAGGATTTATATATGATAAGTATATCGCAAATGATAGGTGATATTTATGATATTTTTTAAAAATATATACAATCATATATACATGCATGCCCTCTGGTACACTAACATAGCTATGGAAAATCACAATCTTTAGTAGGTAAAACAACTCTAAATGGGCAATTTTCAATAGCAAACTGTTAGTCATTACCACAGGGTAGATGAATGGAATATTTCCCTATCATACATGGGGTGAACTATGGCTGATGGATCATAAACACTATATATAAATATAAACAACGACCTCACTGTTCTCCCTCACTGGAAAATTACAACGACCTCACTGTTCTCCCTCACTGGAAATCATGGTTTATTTTAGGGAAATCATCCCCTTTTATGGCCCAACAATTCAGGCTAGTGAAATATCACGATCATCCTATGAAGTTGCACCGGAATCATCTATTTGTAGAGGATTTTCCATGAAATAAACCATCCAGCGAGCGATAAACGGGTACCCCTTTTTTGTGAAATCATTTCATTGGTGAAATTCATATATACTTAAAAATGAATACAGTACCATAATTATAAATATTACAATATTTCATATTTTTCATATATAAATATATGATGATATATATATATAGATTATAACTATAGTTATTACTGGTGGTATAAACCATATTATAACACAGCCCCCATGACTATGGAAATTCCGATATGGGAAAGCATTATCATTTACCCAGATAAATATAAAAAATTAGGTAAATACCTAATAATATATGATTTATTACTATCATACTAAATATATATATATACTAAATATATATATATATATTACCCAGATAATATTTAGGACTTACCTAAATTGGTGATCCCAAACTTCTGGATGGCCAAGGACGGCACCCCAGCTGGTCGGAGGTTGCAGTCAGGTCTGAAACTGTCGCTTGCTGAGAAGGGAGGGATTTTTTGGCTGATTTCTGGCCTATTTATGAAAAATGTGGCTGGTTGGTGGTTTCAAACATGTTTTATTTTCCATAATACATAGGAATTTCATAATACTAACTGACAAACTCCATCATTTTTCAGAGGGGTAGGGCTCAACTGGGCTCAAGCACCAACCAGATTATATTCCATTCAATCCCCTAAGGCTCAACCACCAACCAGATGTCATCCTTACCATTGACGAACTCCATCATTTTTCAAGATGGGCACATTGCACCACCAACCAGGTGGGTTCAATGGTGACTTCATGGCCTATGAAATATCGACGAAAAAAACACGGTTTTTCATTGTATTTCTTGGTGATTTGATGGTGATTTAATGGGTTATTTATGGTGATTTAACCAAGAAAACATATCACAAGATAGGAAATTGATCCATGAACATGTTTTATCATTGCCTTTTCTGTGGTATTTCTTCTCCAGGATATATGGTCACCTCCCATAATTATCCATATATATATAATATATATATACATATATATTGGGAAATTATGGTAGGATTATGTAGAACTTGTATAATGTTCCCAGGTTTTTTGAGGAAAATCTATCAGTTCTAAGATATATATATATATATACATATACATATACTGTATGTATATAATATACTGTATATATATAATATACGTATATATATATATATTATATACGTATATATATATATGGTGATTTAACCAACCAAAAAATATGAATTTAAGGATTTGATTTAGAAAAATGACGGTGGAATGGCTTAAATCGGTGGTAAGCAAACTTATGGGCCTTGTACCCTCTGGTAATTAACATAACGAACTGGAAAGATTCACCATGCTATTTCTGGGTAAATCCACTATTTCGACTGGGCCATTTTCAATAGTTATTTTGACATAACCAGAGGGTAACTTGCGGAAAACGCCAGTGGAACATGGGAACAAGGTCGCCACAGGTGCTTCGTGTTATGTTCTTGGGATCGACCGGATCGACCGTTTTTGGGCCCATCGACAGATGTTTTTGAAAGTGACAGCTTTCATACCACAACTGGTTCTCTAGGTATATGATAATGGTATAGAAACATCATGGTATGGAAATGTCACTTTCAAAAACAAATGATATTACAACCCACTATAGATGATATTTAATATAACATTATTGCTATGATATCATATATTGCTAATGTAATATCATATAGGTATATGATAACCAACTATATGATATTACATTATAGCAATATATGATTTGATGGTGTATGAAACATGATATATGGTTTCCATCCCATTGTATAGCAATATATGATATGATGGATCTAATGGAATGGTTGCCACGAAACAACCAGTGCGTAGCTCCCATAGACCTCGATCCACAGTCAGAATTGGAATCGTTCTTTTACCCTCTGGTAATTTGTTACAGTTTGCTATTGAAAATGGCCATTTATAGTGATTTTTCCCATGAAAAGTGGTGATTTTCTATGGCTATGTTAAATAACCAGAGGGTAACTTGAAGATTTTTGACGTCAACCAATGAATGGATTGGTTTTGTTGGGAAAATCTTCACCGGAAACCATAGGTTTTCCCACTAAATATGGGTCTTTCCTGTAAATTTTCCCTTAAACCAATCCATTGAACCAAACTTGTTTTTTAAATCGATTTTGCAATGTCAACCCTGGATTAATAAACCCCAAGCAGCTGTTTAATTGGGATGGTACCATAAAAAAGTATCAGATCATCACTATTGGGGAAATACCAGGGTTTTGACATTATTCACCCAAATAGTGATTTCACCAATAGAATATACTAGTTCGTTATGTTACCATCAGTTATCATGTTCCTAATTAATAAACCATGGTTTATTAATCCGGGCTTGACATTATTCAGCAAGACATGATGACTCAAATTGTCCATCTCTCTGAATCAATTTGCGTTGATTTCCCTGGGTTTTCCATAGATTTTCCCGGAAAAACTGAGTATCAGTGGTTTTTCCGGTGGATTTTCCATCGATTTTCCATTCGATTCAGATGTTCCATGGATATTTTCCCATGGTTTTTTCGTGTTTTTTCGAGCCGCGCCGAGGTATCGAACCTTTAGCTTTCAGCTCACCTACGCACGAGAAGATGGAGGTGCGGCCGGATCTCGTGGAGCCGTGGAGCTCGTGCGGGTACACATCAAACCGTGGCAGGGTTAGGAATTCACCCTTGGGGTTTTCATGGTTTACATACATTACTATAAATAGAGGAATCCCGGAACTAAATAGAGGTGTTGAATGATTTTAGTGGGAGAACAACATCAAACTCAATTGAGTTTGCCACGTACCGCCTCCAGTAATCAAACATGTCTAGCTGGGATGTCCCCTGTAGAAGTTTAGTCCGCAGAGAAAAAAAACATCGAAGGGTTTGCTCGGGGGATTTTCCAGCCCGCGCCACGTTTGAGGGTAATGAGAAAGGTAAGGGATCGAACGTGGTAAGATGTGGTAAGCTTCATCATAAACCATTATATACGTTTAGTCCCGATATACCGATATACCATGTAATCAGTATATAATCAGGATATAACCAGGTTGGAAAAGGCATCTTTGCAAGTTGCGGGTTTCATGGACGCAGAACGGAAAGTGATGAAATTCGAAGAGAACGAGAGCACGAAGATTGTCTTGAAGGAGAAGGAGCCTGCAAGCGTGGACATAGAGCCTGCAGAGTTCTTGTTGCTGACGGACTTCCAAGACCTTGCGTACTGGAAGGCGGGGAAAGCTTCAAGTTGAGGGGTGGGGTGCTGGGCCGTGTTTTGCCAGGGAGACTATCCACCTCAAAGGCTTCGTCACGAGCTTGGGTGGCGTGCAGCATTCCAAGGACAAACAGGCTCCGTATCAGGACCGGGCTTTTAGATTAGAAATTAAGTGTGTGGGAGCTCCAATGGTGGTCCAGCCGAAGGCAACCATGCGACAGAACACCAGTTTCCGTCGACTTCGAGCCAGGGTTGAGACGGTCGGCATTGGAAGTGATGGTTTTACCCTCTGGGGATGATGATGAATGGTTCATGGATAAGATCCATAAATGAATGGTTAATGTAATGAATGGTTAATAGTGAATGGTTAATGAATGGCTAATGTTAATTAATGGATAATTAAACATAGCTATTGAAAATGGCCATAGAAAGTTCGTTGATTTACCCATAATCATTAATAGCATGGTGGATCCTTCCATAGTTTCTTGTATGTTTACCAGAGGGTAAGGGTTAAGACCCAACCATATAATGTGGGTAAAACAATGCCATAAACCATCCCCCAAATCACCATGTTTATAGGTGGTATGTATACCATTCCCAGTCATGGGTGGTTTATGACAGTGTTTTCCCCACATTAATGGTGAATGATTATTAATGGTTAACCACGTGAATCATGGTGATGGTAATGAATGGTGAATAATCTGGGTAAATTTCATCACGAGCGAAGCCTGTTCTTCCTCAGGAAAAAAAAAGATGCAGCCCACGAACCCGAATGCTCACACGTATGTTAATGGTACAGACCGGTACAGATGTCAAAACACATGGATATGCAGTCACGCACAACACCTTTCTGCAATAGTTTATTTGAACAGTCTTGTGCATATTTCCCCTGTTACCAGTCTGCAGTGTAGAGTGGAAAGTGTAGAGTGTGGAGTGTGGAGTGTAAAGTAAGGAGTGTGGAGTGTAAAGTGTGGAGTGGGGAGTGTAGGGTGTGTAAAGTGTAGAATGCGGAGTGTAAAGTGTAGAGTGTGGGGTGTGAAGTGTAAAGTGTGGAGTGTGGAGTGTAGCGTGTGGAGTGTGGAGTGGAAAGTGTAAAGTGTGGAGTGAGGAGTGTAAAATTTAAAGTGTGGAGTGTAGAATGTGGAGTGTGGAGTGGAAAGTGTAAAGTGTGGAGTGAGGAGTGTGGAGTGTGTAAAGTGTAGAGTGTGGAGTGTAAAGTGTAGAGTGTGGAGTGTAAAGTGTAGAGTGTCGAGTGTGGAGTGAGGAGTGTAAAGTGTAAAGTGTGGAGTGTGGAGTGTAAAGTGTAGAGTGTGGACTGTGGAGTGGAAAGTGTAGAGTGTGGAGTGTGGAGTGTGGAGTGTGGAGTGGAAAGTGTAAAGTGTAAAGTGTGGAGTGAGGAGTGTAAAGTGTAAAGTGTGGAGTGTAAAGTGTAGAGTGTGGAGTGTGGAGTGTGGAGTGTGGAGTGTGGAGTGGAAAGTGTAGAGTGTAGAGTGTGGAGTGTAGAGTGTGGAGTGTAAAATGTAAAGTGTGGAGTGTAGAGTGTAGAGTGTAAAGTGTACAATGTAGAGTGTGGAGTGTGGAGTGTAGAGTGTAAAGTGTAGAGTGTAAAGTGTAGAGTGTGGAATGTAGAGTGTAAAGTGTAGAGTGTAGAGTGTGGAGTGTAAAGTATGGAGTGTGGAGTGTGGAGTGGAAAGTGTGGAGTGTAAAGTGTAGAGTGTGGAGTGTGGAGTGTGGAGTGGAAAGCGTAGAGTGTGGAGTGTAGAGTGTGGAGTGTAAAATGTAAAGTGTGGAGTGTAGAGTGTAGAGTGTACAGTGTGTGGAGCGTGGAGTGTAGAGTGTAAAGTGTAGAGTGTAAAGTGTAGAGTGTGGAGTGTGGAGTGTAAAGTGTAGAGTGTGGAGTGTGGAGTGAGGAGTGAGGAGTGTAAAGTGTGGAGTGTGGAGTGTAAAGTGTAGAGTGTGGAGTGTGGAGTGCGGAGTGTGGAGTGGAGAGTGTAAAGTGTGGAGTGAGGAGCGTAAAATGTAAAGTGTGGAGTGTAGAGTGTAGAGTGTAAAGTGTGGGGCGTGGAGTGTAGAGTGTAGAGTGTGGAGTGTGGAGTGTGGAGTGTGGAGTGTGGAGTGTGGAGTGTGGAGTGTGGAGTGGAATGTGTAAAGTGTGGAGTGAGGAGTGTAAAGTGTAAAGTGTAGAGTGTAAAGTGTAGAGTGTGGAGTGTGGAGTGTAAATAGTAAAGTGTAGAGTGTAGAGTGAGGAGTGTGGAGTGTGGAGTGTAAAGTGTGGAGTGTGGAGTGTAAAGTCTCAAGTGAGGAGTGTAAAGTGTAGAGTGTGGAGTCTAAAGTGTAAATTGTGGAGTGTAAAGTGTAGAGTGTGGAGTGCGGAGCTTCCCCCATAGACACGGCGACGCCACAGGAAAACCAGAGACTCGAGACGAGACACGTGGGTGCAGAAAAACGAGCATTTCGTGCGAGACTTGCTCCAATTTTGTCATTTTCGACACGTTATCAAACAGGTTGGAATGTCACAAAGTACCACGCCTGCCAAGCAAAACGACATGACAACCTGCTTGGAAACCTTCGAAAAGGAGGGGTTTTGCAGCTTCCCGCATAGACACGGCGACGCCACAGGAAAACCAGAGACTCGAGACGAGACCCTTGGATGCAGAAAAACGAGCATTTCGTGTGAGACTTCCTCCGATTTTGACATTTTCGACACGTTATCAAACAGGTTGGAACGTCACAAAGTGCCACGCCTGCCACGCAAAACAATATGACAACCTGCTTGGAAACCTTCGAAAAGGAGAGGTTTTGCAGCTTCCCCCATAGACACGGCGACGCCACAGGAAAACCAGAGACTCGAGACGAGACACGTGGGTGCAGAAAAACGATCATTTAGTGCGAGACTTCTTCCAATTTTCACACTTTGTAGTTTCAGAATCGACGTTTTCCTACGAGTTTTCGTAGGAACCTCTAAATTTGCTACCTCAAAATCGATGTTTCGTGCGAGGCTTCCGTCACTTTTCAGAGCCCTGCCAATGAGATTTGCAAAAAACACGCAACACGACACGTCTAAAGTGCTGCGCCTGCCACGCAAAATGACGATGGACACGTCCAAAGTGCTGAGCCTGCCACGAAAACTGCAACGCATCTTCTGAAAACGTCGCAAAAGTATTGCGCCTTCCACACAAAACGATTTTCGACACGTTACAAAACACGTCTGAATGTCACGAAGTGCCACGCCTGCCACGCGACACGAAGCAACGGAACATGTGAAACCTCCAAAAGTGACCCCCTCTGGAGAACTTACCATAGGCACGGCCATATAGCAATCGCGCGAACGGTTGCGAACGGCTGCGGACGGTTGCGGCCACAAACGCAACGTCGAGCGAACACACCCTCAGCCCCCAGACCCCCAGAGTGAAACGGCAACCCTTGCTACGCATTCGGGAAACATAGTTAGTAAGGGGAATCGTCCCCTTTTATGGCCTTAATTCAGGTTAGTGACATATTATAATTTACCCAGATCTATACACTCTGGTAAACGAACAGGCAGATGATTCCCCTTACTCACTTTGATAGATTGCCCAGGTAGATTATATTGGAGGAACCCAGATAGTACATGATAGCACCCCTCTTATTACCTCTGTGAATGATTGTAATTTACCCAGATAGATTCTTTCAGAGGTACTGCAGGTCCCCTAGTTTCAGACCCAGGAGTTACCCACAAGCATAAATCACTGGTGTTTCATAGAAAAACTGGAGATGGTCATGGTGACAGGTCATTAAGAATGGTGAACATGGGGACAGACCATGATTTTCATGAATGTATCATTATACCATACTATATATCTGATGATATGTATGTACCGCATTATATTTATATTATATATACACACATTGTACTTAAGTATTATATATATATACACAATATTTATGTTTTTATACCTCATTACCTCCATATACCCTACGTCTGACTGGATTTTGTGGGGTCGAAGCCTGCAGACTTGGTGAATTGGTGAATCTTTTCATAGGAAATGACAAGGAAAATATCTTGTGAAAATACGTACTGTATATTCATGTAAATTTTACATTCACAAGTGAAACTATATAGTGAAACTGTATAGGGAAACTGCATTCCTAAATTTAAAAAATTCAATGAAAAGACAAACCAATCAAGGAAGGAGACTATAAGCCCATAGAATTCATCAAACATGCCTGTTACCAAGGAGGCTGCTAGATGATATATATATTTCAGAATAGGTAGCCAATTCAATTATCAATGTACAGAATGGGGGATACTAGAAGTTCAAGTTGTTTAATCCACATTTCAGAATTGCCTTATGAATTATGATTTGCTATAAATATTGGCCTTATAATCTTACCTTGAGTTACTAATCTTACAAAATAGAAATGATGTTTTGGTCATCTTTCCGATGATTCAGCACGGCCAAACCTTGCAGTGTCGATGTGTAATTTATGAGCTGTAGTCCCAAGAACGGTCCTTGAAAAGTCGGAATCTGATGAAAAGACTGGAATTGTTTCGGCTCTCAAATCAGATTCAATATCCCAAAAATGAATAACTGACCTTAAAATAGCAGGAAATCACGATGTTCAATGCTTTTTGGTGAATTATTGTATTTGATTCTGGTTGGTGATTTGGAACATTTTTTATTTTTCCATATATTGGGAATGTCATAATCCCAACTGACGAACTCATATTTTTCAGAGGGGTAGGTATACCACCAACCAGTATTTGCTTTTCCAACTTCCATTGAGCCACTAGAAACACGTTGCTGATTATATCTTCTTCTTCTTCTTCTTCTTCTTCTTCTTCTTCTTCTTCTTCTTCTTCTTCTTCTTGGTGATGCTACCGGGTTCTTCAGGGAGGTGGGTAGGTATACCACCAACCAGAAAAGATTTGAGAGTATCTTCACATTACAACTGCGATATGAATTTCAAAAACCATCAAAAATGGGCTATGAATTACACTCTGGTAAACTAACATAACTACTGAAAATCCACATTTTGAATAGGTAAATCAATTATAAATGGGGTATTTTCAATAGCAAACTGTTTGTCATTAGCAGAGGGTACCAACCAGTTGAATTTCTCTGGCAGCGACCAGGTAATTTGATGAGCGAGGCTACTCTTCGATACATGAGGACGTCCTGCCGGGATGTGAACGGTTCATGGATAAGATCCATACATGGTTACCCTTTGGTAAACTAACATAGCATGGAAAACTACCATTTTTAATGGGTGAATCCACCATAAATGGCCATTTTCAATAGCTATGTTAAATTACCAGAGGTTAATGTGATGAATGGTTAATGAATGGTTAATGTTAATGGACAATGAAACATTGCTATTGAAAAAGGCCATAGAAATGGTTGATTTACCCATTAAAAATGATGATGTTCCATAGTTTTTTTATGTTTACTAGAGGGTAATGGTTAAGATCCAACCATATAATGTGGGTAAAACAATGCCATAAATGCCATAAACCATCCCCCAAATCACCATCTTTATAGGTGGTATGTTTACCATTCCCCAATGGGTTTACGACATTGTTTTACTCACCACACAATGGGAATATACTGGGGATATAACCATGAAATATGGTGGATTATCGTTGAACACACTTTTTATGGTTGCGAAATCCTGCGCCAGTTGGTAACTTTGGTAACTTCATTCAATACTGTAAATAATGGGATTGAAATGAGATACGCCATTTACCAACTGGTGCAGGATTTCTGCCATCATCATGACCCCAATGTGACCTCACTGGAATGATGGTGAATTTAAGGGGAATCATCCCCATAGCCGTATGAAAACGAGGGATTTAGCCTCTGGTTATTTAACCTAGCCATGGAAAGACCCACCATTTTTAAGTTCGGTAAACCATCTATTTCTATGGGCCATGGCTTCCATGGCGAACTGTTAAATAACCAGAGGGTACTATAACTCAGCCAGGTGCCATGGTGAAAATCCATGGTCTTTTGCTAGTGACTTCGGTTTCGTCAATGAGGGAATGGAACATCATAGAACGATTAGCCTCTGGTGTCATCAAAAATGGCTAACTGGAAAATGCCTTAAATGATGCGGTCCTAGTGGGAAACTTAACTATAAATGGTGGATTGTTTAGTGCCATTTTTGCTTGCCAGAGGGTAACATTTGACCTGGATAGGGTAGACAAACCATGGTTTCCCTTGATCATATTCTCGATGTGTTTCCCAGTGCAAATTGTATCTCCAACCCATAGGCAGACTGTGGCCATAAGGGGCTAGAACAAATGGTCACTTTCACCTCTATATTTGCCCAATATACCACCCAACCCTGGGCTGGAGCAACCCTGGTAGCATTCCTGACACACTCCACCGTGATTCCCGCTATAGCTGTAACTGCTGGTTCTGATATCCAGATCACAAGTCCATTTTTTGTTGGATTTCTTGGGTTTTAAGTACCACATACTTCCGGTTCTGGTAGATGTCTCCTTTCTTTTCATTTGAGCAGTGCTGATGGTTTTTCTGATCGTAAGGAATTACCCTCTGGTAAACGGTAAACTAACATAACTGTGGAAAACCACCATGTCTAATGGGTAAATCAACTATTTCTATGGCCATGTTCAATAGTTTTTTTGTATGTTTACCAGAGGATACTTTCTCCAGTATATTGGGCCGACTATCATCATCCCTAGGGGGGAATCCTGTTCTCAACGGTACGGCGTTGTATGAAGGGACGACGTTGCGGGGTTCACCGCTCAATCAGGGAGGTTTAGTTGCACTCATCTAGGGCAACCAACGGGATGGGTAGTTCAATCCTGAATAATCTCTTGCCCTGATTAATCCTGATAATTCTTGCCCTGAATAATCTTAAATCCCATTTAATTCAGGTATATATGGGATTCAATGGTGATTCAATGGGATTTAATGGGATTTAATGGTTTATTAATTAGGGGGGTATTCCTCCAATAGTTATTTTCATCCCACACTTTTTTATGGTACCCAATTCAACAACCGTTTGGGGTCTATTAATCCAGGGTTGACATTGGGATTTATGGGATTGGATGGGATAAACAAACCCGTAGCCTCTGGGTTAAACGGGTATATTAATGTGATATACCCGGCCTGGTAAACCAACATAGCTATTTACCAATTAATGGGATTTAATGGGATTTAATCGAAGGAAGTTTAGAAGTCAAACTTCCGACAATATGGACAGATGAAAAGCAGAGCAGGGCAGAGGCAGAGAGAAGAGGAAGATTAGAAGAGAGAAGATCAGAAGAGAAAGGGTCAGGAAGAAAGAAGATGCAGATGCGCGAAAAGGTAGGAAAGTCGCGAAACACTGTGTTTTTCCAATGATTTGTGGCTCCGGAGGGTCGAAAAGTAGGCTCGCTAAAGCGGCGGG